TAGGGTCCTCGAATCCGGGTCTCCACGATCCCAAGTCGCTTTTGTCGGTAACGCGCAGGGTATGGCGGATTACGCCAATGGTTCTGAGTTTGAGAATCACGACCGCCATATATTCATCGATCCCAATTTCGGGGGCCACCGGGGCCGCCATGTTTGGGGTCCCTGCGTCCATAACTGTCGCCACCCGCCCTTGTCCTGCAACGGTTGGAGCTGCTAGCGGGATCTGGGACGGGCCAGCGACCCCTACTTGCGCTCGGGGTCGCGCACAGTCCTTGGCCAAATGTCCGGGATGATTGCAATTATAACATCGTATAGGCTGAGTAGCTCTAACCACAACACGCCGAGGTGGCACCGTCCCTGCGGCCGCTGCTGCTGACTGTCTCTGTGCCACTTCCACCCTTTGCCTCTGCAAGCTTTGAACAAACTTGGTTAAAGGCGCCACAACTGTCACAAGTTGTGCGCCTACTGCAACGGTTGGAGCTGCTAGCCGGATCTGGGACGGGCCAACAACTCCTACTTGCGCCCGGGGTCGCACACAGTCCTTGGCCAAATGCCCGGGCTGATTGCAATTATAACATCGTATAGGCTGAGTAGGTCCAACCACAACAGGCCGAGGTGGCACCGTCTCTGCGGCCGCTGCCGCTTACTGTCTCTGTGCCACTTCCACCCTTTGCCTTTACGAGCTTTGAACAAACTCGGTTAAAGGGGCCACAAGCGTCACAAGTTGTGCGACTATCTCCTTCATCGAGGGTTCGTCTACCTCCCATTGTCGGGCGGCTCCAGCCTTACACCGCCGTTTACTTCCTTGTTGATAACACTTGGGGAGGAGTGGATTCAGCCAAATTGCCTGGCGGGATCTCGACCGAGGTCGAAATGTACAATATAAGATTCACACAACGAGTGTTGAAGCCGAGGCGTCAGGAAAAAGCAGAACCATGAATTCTGGATAGGCACCCCTTTGTGCGCACTATTAAGGCGTATCATTGACATGGCATACATGGGCGACTATTACTAAGGAAGTGCTGGAGGCTCCAGGCAAAGGACAAGAACAAAGAGTCGGATTGCATTGAGAGCTGGGTGATGGGCCGAACAAGAGAGGGTGCCAAACTTTTGAGAAGAGCCCTTAGGTGAACAAGTGGCGACCGACACTGGGATTCTTTGTGGAATCAATACAAAGGAGAAACGCTGCTCGGACACACTTCGGAATGCAGTGTGCAGTTGCCTGGTCTCTCGTCGAAAGGTATGTTGCAACCCTCAAGTGGAGCTCACGTGTGATGCGCCAACCTCATGCCCCATGCGGCGTTCCGTGCTTCAGACGCCGATCAGAGTAGTTAGGGGCGTGCCTGAGGATTTTTGGTCGTGGGGGTTGAGCCACCCGGACGAAACGGGGGACTCTTGCTTCAGGTCGAGGTGCTTGGGCAGGGGCTTGAGCTGTCATCAGGGCCGAACGACGGGGTCCTACGGGCCGACTGTCATCACCATATGAAAAAAAAAAGGGAAGAAAACAAAACGAGAGGGGAGGGGAGAAGAGAACCGCAGTCGTCCGGAACGGAGCTCCGTTTCCTGAGGCGCCAGGTTCGCACGACCCTTGGAGGCAGAGCCCCGAAATCGGGTTCAAGTTTCGACGTCCGACTCGTCGAGTCCTTGCGGACGACACAACATGGGGCTGCTCGAGGTCGGGCAGGTCGGTGGAACCCAAGTTCGAAAACGGGCGGGGAGGGCACCTGCGTTGCAGGAGAGTTCGGGGAAGCTGACTGCTCCTTCGTACCCCAGGACCAACCGTCGCCACGAGCACACGAGTCCCGCTGACGACACCAGTGGCAATTAAACTGCGGCCGCCATGAGGCGTGCACAACGAACCAGGGCAGCACCGTGAGGTCTGGGTAGGGCAAGATTAAAGGCACGGAAGAAAATCGCTCAATCAGCACCAACCCACTCCCGCCTATGTGGCACGCCTGGGTGGGGTTATAAAGATGGATTGGCTCAGTGTGCCGCAGTAGGCTCTGCATGTCAGCATTGCAGTATATGCTGTAGTCATCTGAAATCGGGAAGGGCGAAAGGTTCTGCGACGCTCCGAGACAAGGCCAGAGCTTGGGCCACGGCCTGCACTTCCGTCTGTTGAGACAAAACCTGACTCCATGCAAAAACCAACGAATATTGCCAAAAAAGGATGCGCCTAGCTCTCGTTCTCCGTCTCTCTCTCTCTGTAGCATCAACCTGAACGCGGTTTCGAGCACCCCGGGGTGGGCACAAAGAGGTTAGAGGCTTCGCGAGGATGCGGATGACCGATCTCTTCGAAATTATCTGCCTCCCCTGGGGGTCTCGACCTGCACACGATGAGAGAGAGAGAGACGACGGAAGGAGGGTGGCGCTTATCCCGCACACTCGCACGGGTTAATGGCGAATAAAAGGGGGAAGGACAGACACATTCATGCACTCATGCAAGCAATCCACACTCGGTACTTCCAATCATCAGGCTGGAAGGCGCATACACAGACCTACCCATAGAGCCCTCCATGCAATATTCAACATCCATAGACTTTTATACCCGAACATGCATAACGGATTACCCACACATTGGGACCATGCACACATCACACGAGGACAAGGCAACAATGGAGAAAGAACTCGTTTTAAGATACAAAATTCTCACGATTGGCTGCTCCGGGCCTAGTCCCAAATCCGTCAAAACCATCGACAACCATAGCCACAAGGCCCTGCCGCTGCCAGCGTCTGATCTCCACCACCGCTCAGTCCCTCCGATTGCCTTACCCCAATTCTACCACTAACTCTGCCAACCGCCGTCACTCCGTCCACCACGGGGCACGTTGAGCCTTTCCGGCGCTGCGGGCTTCGCGCATAGATTGCGGAGCTTGCAGCCGAGATCAAAGAGAGTGAGAGGAAGGGGTTGCGAGAATTTATAGCGTGGGAAGCGGCGGGGGGGCTGCGCGAAGCACGGGGTGTAGAATGGCAGGATAGACGAAGGGCATACGTTCCAGAAGGATCGAAGGAGGTGAGTCAGATGATCTGCATGATTGGGGTGGTCTTCCAAGTGGGGTGCGCTTCCCGCTACCACCACATTGGCCCGACCAACCCAATCAGACAGTCAATCGTTCGAAGGAAAAGGAGAAGAAGGGGATCGGAGTTCGTTTAGAGGGAAGACAAAGAGGCATGCAGGAAGGGAATACGCAACAAGAAGGGAAGATGGCACGAGGATGCAGAACGGAAGAGCGGGTTTACGTGGCGCGCAAAAAATTGAAAAACAGCCGCGCGCGCAAAGGTTTCGAAATTTGTACTCCTGCCAAGTCCCAACTGCTTCTTGAATTTCTTGGCGGGGCTGCTAACCGGCCACGCGAGACCCAAATTACATTTTCTACTCCGTCCCTTTTTTCCAAAAAAAAAAAGAAAGAACGAAAAAGAAATGAAGCCCTATTTTCCCTTATTATCTTGAATCCGTGCTTCGGGGCTTTTCGTGGGAACGGGAAGCCGCCGAGTACGGATCCTGGCTTATCACACACGTGCGGTGGTGTTTGGTGGGGACCAGATGGTGACTGCGTACCATAACACCGAGAAGACCGACACATTGAGCACCAGCTTCCTGGCGTATAAAGACGATGAGGTGCCCGACCATGCTTTCATTCTTTGTAGCATTTTGATGAGGAGGTCGTGCACCATTGAATGATCCAGTCCCTTTTTAGTGATCCTAATTCCGAGGTATCGTAGGGGTTGACCACCATTTTGCCATTGCAAGCCTTGTGGTGTTTCGCCCTGGCTGGGGTAGTCGGTATCGGCGAGCCACCAGGCTTAGGTTTTGTGCCAATTGATCTCCGTTTTCCGACGCCAGGCGGAGAGCATCCATGGCCCTGAAAAGAGGAATCAGATGCTCTTATGAGGACTGTCAGGTAATCTGCAAAGAGCAGCGTGACTGGTAAGGTTACCTGGTGTGTGAAGATCCGGGCTCAGCCACGAGGCATTGGATGGAGGGGTCTTTGCGCAGGAAGGATGCAATGGCCTCCGTTGTAAACAGGAATAGCGGCACTGCGAGGGGATCGCCTTGACGGACCAATCTAGACATCTTATGAGGCGGTGACAAGAAGGCATTGACTTGGACTCTGCCGTGGCCGTTGTTGTAAAGGATTATCACCCATTTCCTAAAGATCGGGCCAGGCCATCTGTTGGCTCCGATCTATTTTTGGGGAGCAACACCTGCTGGAAAACAGGTCCAGTGTCCCTTGCACCACAAAATGAGGCTTGAAGAGCAGACACTTCACATCTGAGTCCCACTAAGGCGCTTTCGCACAAGAATTTGATGTGTGCAATGGTAGATTGGAGAATTGCTGGAGGTTGGAGCCGCAAGTTGATGGCCCAATGGTATATGCAGGGTTTTCCCAATCCCATGATTTATGACTCCAGGCTTCCCTTGATGTAAAAGGAGTCTCAAACTAATCCATTTAATGCCAAACAGAGATATTGAAGAGGCGACCATAGGGGCTGCCAGGATCTTCAGCCTTGGTCATTTGAATGAGTAAGTGGAAATGTGGGCATTCTCTCACTCAAATCAGCCTGCAAAGCATGGCGGGCGTCAGTTGAATGTATTTCCATGAAAACCACAGACACGTTATGGTTTCCCGAGTTCTTATAAAACCCTCTGTAAAAGTATGACTGTACTGGGAGTACTGCTCCTTTCTGGTCAGAGTCACCCCATTCCCCAGGGTAACTTCTTAGCATTTGTCCTCTCCATCTTTTTATGCATAGTGCTAGATTTTTCCTGATGCTTGATGAGCTTTTTAAAAGACAGGCGCAGACCGGGTCCTTGTTGGCCTCTCTTCTTAGCATTTGTCCTCTACAACTTTTTATGCATAGTGCTAGATCTTTCCTGATGCTTGATGAGCTTTTCGATAGACAGACACAGACACGTAAACCCGAGAAAAAAGGTTTTTAATTAACTTTAATAGGCATTGAAAGAAGGATGAATTTCCAATTTTGGTTTGATGATTCAGGAATCGCGAAGGACAGCGGAGGATGTGACTGGTGCAAAAAAGCAGCTCAGGATGAAAGCTGATGCACTTGAGAAGGAGAAAGAAGCTCTGGCACAAGAGAAGGAGTATGTGAGAGTGGCAATGGCAGAAATATCGGAGGCATCAAAAGTAAACAGGCAAGCCAAGGAGAGGATAGCAGCACAAGCTCATGAGCAGAACACACTCAAGCAAGCCTTGGAGGTCTGTGCTTTATGTTTTTTTTGTTTTTTTTCAAGTAACTTAAGATGTGAATTGTAAATTCGTAACTGTATTACATGGCATCTGTAGCAAATTTTAGGTTTTTTTTTTTTTTTTTTTTTTTTTTTTTTTTTTTTTTTTGTGCGTGTGTGTGTTTGGTTAAACCACTAGCAGCTTTGTCGTTTCGGAAAATAGAGGGCCTCCAACCTTTCAGGAGGCCGAACGACCGCCGATTAGATTTATCAATGGCAGCCGTCATCGGGCCCGGCCTCTGAATTCTTCGGGAACGAGCGTTTTCCCTCAGTTCTGAAGTGCTTGTTGTTTAAGGGGGTAGTCCCTAACACAGTTACTATATCTACCTGATTCCGCTCACAGCGTTGTTCAGCTTGGACAACGAGCACCAACTCATTGAGGAAGGAGAGAGTTGTTGAAGTGGTAGAAACCTCTACCTTTATCAACTGAGCGGTCAATATTAATGAGTAGGCTTATGGGTTTGTAATCGCATCAGGAGTATGCAGCCGGAGGGAGGATGGCAGCCTCTTTTATTGCTCCAAGCATTGATTCCGATACTAGAAAAAAGTCTGTAAGTAATAAGGTGGTGTGAGTTGCATGGTTTTTCTTCATTAGTGAGCATGACTTTCAGGTGGTGTTCAGCAACCTAGATGGTTCCAGGAGACTGAATTCCACCATCATGTTCCTTATTTGCGTCCCTGCTCTAAAGGGGCCTATGATAAGAGATATCGATATCCTATCCAGCACGTTCCCACTCTAGAGAGGCCTATGATAAGAGATGTCGATATCCTATCCAGCGCATCCTCGCTCTAGAGGGGCCTATGATTAGAGATCACGATATCCTATCTAGCGTGGGGTCCCAGACTGTATTGTAATCCCCCGCTGTTATAATGGGTTGCAGATCGGGTGTAAATGTGGTCTGTGATCTAAAGAACGATGATTCTGGACTCTTCTTGGCTATCTTTACCACTATCTTGTATGGTTCCTAATGAGCTTATCTTGGATCATTTGGGGGTCGCTGTGCCCTTCCACCTTTCCCCTCTAGCAAATGGCCATCGGGCAGGGAATAGAGGTAGCACCCCTGATGCTGCAGGGAGTACTGTCGCTCGCAGCAGATCATCGACTACACCAGTGATTGCCGAAAGTATGCTGATAATTACCATCCAATCTGCCTCAAAAGCTCTCAGCTTTCGCCTTCCCTTGCACTTGCAAGGGTTTCCATTGCGCCCCCCCTGAGTGTTTAAGACAGACGACCATCTGCAATTGAATGGATGATCTACTTTTCTCAGATAAACACTAGCGGGATGGCTACACAGTTCGCCTACCTGTCCTTTGGAAACAGCTCCTTAGCCTATGGTTTCTTACTTCGTTCTGTACTTCTCAACAGCTCAATGTGTTCCAGCCACCTATTGAGAGATACATCTTGCAACCAAGTCTTTGTGAGAAGTCGGGCATATATCATCTTGAATCTTCTTAATTTCTTATGCAGAAGACTGAACAATATCTGATGGTCAATTCTATTGAAGCATTTGCGCAGTTTTGAACCTTCGGCATGCATCTGTCAAGTTCTATGCACCAAACAGCTGCCCCTTGAAAATCTTGCATGAAACCAACGAGAGAGGAGAACATAGATACACGGACTATTGTCGCCGCAAACATCAAATCTGGAGTGAATTGAATCAAGCCAGCAACAAGCATACTTGTTGGTGAAGCTAATCTCCCCTTGTGCTTCAGGAATCGTCATAAAAAAACTCATCAAACTCCCCATCTCCAACCGGCCATTACTCGTGTTTCCTCTCATCCTTTCCTTTCAGGTGGTCACTGTGCCCGGGCAAATCAATGGACCTTCATCACTAAGGATTCTCTTCTTGTGTTCGGAAGTGCCGTGTTGAAATGCTTGTTATCTTGTTTTGCTTCTTAGGCTCCTTGGGCTCTGATTTCTGCAACATCAGCCAAAGCCTGCCTCTTATTTTATGTATCTGATTTTCTCTTTCCTCCCATTTGAATTTCAATTCGGGTTTAGTCTCCTCCGTCAATGTTATCCTCAAATACCAGATACACTTTCCCCCCCCTTCACTTATTGATAAAACTGCAGCCTTCTTCCCAAGATTGATCTGATTGAATCCAAGAACACTGTTCATCCCTGCTAATACTGGACTCCTAACAGCAGACCCTCTTCTTTCTACAGACACAAGTACTTTGGCTAGGCGACTGGAGGTTGTCAAATTGGTACGTATCAATATCTCACCTTGGCCGCCTTCTTTCCAAGGACATGAAAACTTTGGCTAGGCGACTGGAGGTTCTCAAATTGGTGGGTATCAATATCTCACCTTGTCCTAGTCTGGAGGGGCCTGCCTCCTTGATCCTGAGGTTCTTCTGTTTGCAGATGGGAGTGATGGGGGAGGGAGTGGTGCAGGCAGGGATCATGATAATGAGCAAGGAGGAGATGACGGCGGAGGAGGAGGAGGAGGGTGATGCTGAGCAAGAAGGAGATGGCGGAGGAGGAAGAGGAGGAGGGGGAGGGGGGGCAGTGAGGAGGAAAGGTAGCGGCATGAGGCAAGGAAGGGTGTAGTTGCAGAGGTGGCAAAGGTTGTGTTGGGGGGGCTCTGCTTCTCTGCTTGGTTTCAGATTTCTCTGTCATTCTTAGCATTTTCCCACAAATGACTCTTAGGTTCTCTTAACCCTATCTAGCTCCATCATTTAATTCCTGCATTTAAGGCATTAGCATGGAGGGGCACAGCGCCGTTGTCAAGGGGCCTGCAGAAGGATGTCGGGTGATATTGAGGGTTGGAGGGAGCAGGGTGTCACAACTGCTAGCGGGAATATTGAAGTCGTGCTTGGGATATCAAGATGGGAAGGCTGTGGAGGGGTGTCAAGGGGATCCAGGGAGGGGCTGGCAGTGACGAGAGGCTTGGGATGACATGTACTTAAATGGGTTCAAGTTTGGTTAGCGAGGAAGCTTTGAGTGGAGCAAGGGTGTTAAGTGTGCGACGGTGTGTTGGGCGGATGCAGTGGATGACCAGGTGGCACCGACCCGCATGGGCAGGGGGTTGCAGGAGTGGGGATACTTGAGTGGGGATGCCTTTAGACTGCATGGGGAGTTGTTAGTGTGGGTTTTGGCCCAGGGTTGAGGGGAGCAGCAGGCTGTCATATGGCAATGGGGGTGCTTGTGGGTTGCCAGCCAGGGTTTGTGGGATTGTTATAGACAATGGGAGTGTACGGTTCAAGGAGTTGCAGATAATAAGGTAAAGTGTAGAGAGCGATGTTAGAGTGTTTGTACGGGACAGGAGGTTGTCACAGGCGGTACGGGCCTGTGTTGAGGGTGCCATGTGTGTGCACCAAGTTGTCGCAGGGAGCTTCGTAGTTTGCTTCACGGCCTTGGTAATAAAGGGGAGCGGCTTCTGGTGTAGATGAGAAGGTAGAGAGCTGTAGAAAGGGATATGTATCCATCCATCTTTCTACGTATATGGAATCTACATTTGTGCTACACTAGTGAGGTGTTCTGCTATTAGCCTATTATCATACCAGTGAAGCCGGACTATCTTGTTTTTCTTTTTCCCCCCTTCTTTTTCCAAAACCAAACTGTCCTGTGACTTTCATCTTGGACTGTTGGATGCAGGAAAAGGCAGCGGACATCGGACAGAGGGAATCAAAGGTAAAGATGGAAGAACAACTGCTTGCTGAGCAGGAAGCAGCTTTAAGACGGCAGAGAGAGGCATGGGAGACATTGCGAGATGAGGAAAGGGCATCTTTGGAGGAGGGAAGAAAGAGCTTCACGTTAATGAGAGAGCAGGTGATTGCAGATAGGGAATCCTGTCGTAAGGAGAGGGAGAAGCTAGAGGCTGTGAGAGAATCCCTGAAGGAGGCAGCCTGTGCACTGCAGGCGCGCGAAGTGTTCCTAGAGAAGATGTGGTGTCGATTGTATGGTCCTGAAAAAGATGAGGAAAAGTCACTTAGCATCAAGTTGTGGTACAAGCACAAAGGAGAGCGGTTGATTGGTGACTGGGAGAACGATCGGACAGTCACGGATGTTTCAGATCTGCAAATATCATCTTCAGAGAAGTCTTACAAGCCTTGGAGTTTTCATGAAGAGCCATACTTAGAAGAATTTGATGCTGGAGTTGATGAGTTGAAGGCTGGGGGGCTTGACTTGGCAGCACTGATGAAGCGAGAGACAAGGTTGCAGCAGTGGGCGATGACACTGAAGGAAGAGGTAAAGATGCTTAAGGAATGGAAGAAGGATGTTGAAGAAGCGGAGTCTCATGCAGCTGAAGAGTGTAAGAAGGCTGCTTCTATGATCGAAAATGCAGAAAAGAAGCTAGTGGAGGTTGAAGCTGAGGAGAGGGCCCTTTCTAAGGAAAAGGATGGGCTTAGACAACTCCTCGATAAACTTCAGGCCCAGTCTAAGGTGCATTGCTCATCTTCAATCACTCCTCTTCCTGCTGCGCTGTCTTTCATAACAACCGCATACTCCGATATGTTTTCGTTAATCGCAACTTTATGTGCATTCTTTTCTGTTATTTCAACTTATTTGTGCGTTTCCTTGGTTGTCGACCATCTGCTGTTTTTGTCAATGAGGTTCACTGCTGTATACTGTGAAGGAACAACATCCTGCGTTGATCACCACTGCTGGATGAGAGGTAACAGGTACTTTGATTGTAGAGTCATCATCCTCACACCAGTCCAATTGTAAACCAGTCAAACTCATTTTTTGGTATTGAGGAACCTTATCTGCTTTCATTATTGCATTTGCCAGTCAGCTCAATAATTTCCATTTTATTTTGAAAGAGCTGCTATTCTGGGGACCTTTGCCCTGCGATCTTCAGCTTCTCCTATTCCGGGGGGCTGCCTAGGCAAATTTAGGGTTAGAAGTTAGATCCAATGTTTACTGGACAAAACCTACACAAATTTAGCCCTAAGCTGACGTACAGCGAGGGTGGGGATTCATAGCCCATAAAATAGAACACAACTATCATTGATGACATGGAAACAAATGACATTGATCTTTCACGAAAAGGGCGGGGGCGGGGAGGGGGGACAGAAGACTCTCTCTCTCTGCAAGGAATATGAGCGAGAGCGATAGACAGAAATCCAAATTGCAAAATCACGCTGTAGTCCAGATAGTCATGTACCAAGCAGAGAGCACAATGCACCAAGATACCATCCAAATAAGAGCAATACAATGAACTCAAATGTCACTGCCGACACTCTCTGGCCTCACCAACATAGTATCCAGTGTCACTCCTACTGAGTGGCGCTGAGCGCCCAGCCTATAGTACTCAGTGAGTCTCAGTCTATCTATCTGATCTACGTTTATGCAACAAGAGCACATCCAGGTTGAAGACCAATGTACGTGACGTCAACACCAATGCAGACTGCCAGCATACACCAGGTACGTGTCTCACACCTCTCCTCATCATCCCTGACTCCCCTCTGCATGCGCCTCCTACCCAAAGATCACCGTTGCCTGTCACCCGCCTTGCGTTCAGCAGTCCGGCTACGGCCGCCTTGTGCTCAGCAGTCCGGCTATGGCCGTCGTGCGCCTGCTGCCACCGCAGTGCCCCTCTCAGCTCTTAGCTCCCGTGTGCGCCTCTGGCCGGCTTGCGCTAGCGCAGCTTCACCAGGCAATGCAGCAGCGTGGCCGCTATGCCTCACCAGGCCAGAATGTCCTGGCTGGAGTGCTCACTTTCCTTTATGGAAAGTGAGCCCTGCTTGGCTGTGCCTTGGGCTTGGCTGGGCGAGTTTCCATTAGCTTCCAGTGGGGCCCCAGTGTCTGCGCCCAGACCCAGTTTCAGATACTGGGCTGGGCCCCGTGCAGTTAGGCACGTCCAGGTAGCCTACGAGTCTCCGAGTGTTCGGCGCAATCCCATCGGCTCGTGGCATGTGTGTGACGAAGGAGCTGCTTTCTCATTGGTCCGCGACCACTATGTGACTTGTTGGCCTCTGAATGCGTGTGCCCAGGGCCTCAACCGAACGAGCCCTGGGCTTAACTGTATGACGTAGCTGCTGCTTCTGGAAGGAGCCAGGGAAGGCTCACGTTGCTCTGTAACCAACTGGCGTGCTGTAACTGTCTGACACCGCATATAAGAAAAATGGCAGATATAGGCCTCACGCGAATATGCAGGCCCACCTTCACTTAGGGCAAGCACGAGGCTTGCTGGGGGACTATGCCCAGAACGTCTGTATGCACGAGAAGGGCCTAGCGTGGGCTCAATCCTCGCATTCCATCCCCCTTAGCTGCGAAAGTCCGCTGAGATGGTTCTATGCTGGTGCTTTCCCCTTCAACGTCCGTCATCCGTTCATACTCTGCCACAACTTCAGGTGCTTTTCTGACCAGCTCCTGTCTTGTGAACCAACGATCTTCTTTCGGATCTGTATGATGCCTGACGGATCTGTATGATGCCTGAATCTGACCCGGTACTCCCTTGTAGGTCTTGGCGGCCTTCCCAGACCCAGAGGCTTGGGAACAGGCAAATCTCGATGTTGCAAGATGTCGTCGACGGCCACATGGCCATCCATGGTTGGGGGCAGCATAGATCTCCTCGATGGGAACTTGTCAGTCTCAGCGAAATGTGCAAGCTTGGAAGCATGAAACACAGGGTAAGTGCGCAGATGTCCGGGGATTCTAATCACATAAGACTCTGATAAGAGGGTCCATTTAAATCACTACCCACAATGTCCAGGACTTCCCAAGGGCCAAAGTAATGAGGCATTAGCTTTCGATAGAGGTCAAATTCCTGTCCTAACTCGCTAGCCTTTACCCAGACACATTCCCCTACCTGAAATGTGGACTGTCATCTGTGCTTGTTCTCAGAGGCAGTCATTGCCTCCTGAGATTTTCTAATATGCTCGACAGCCTGCTGCAACAGCTTCTCATAGTTGACACCAACTTCGATGGTTCCAGAAGTTGCAGCTGGTCGGTTTTCAGGAAGGAGAAAGTCTAGTGCAGATCTTGGCTTCCACCCCAAATGTAGCTCGTTCAGACAGACACCCATGGTGCTGTGAACAACATCGTTGTACAGGCTGGCGATGAGAGGTAGCATCTCATCCCAGTCATCCTGGCTGGGCTTAATGTTATGCCTCAGCAGGTGGTGCACCACGCCGTTCATCTGCTCCTCTTGGCCATTAGCTTCCGGATGGTTTCCCGAAGTCATTTGGAGTTGGAGTTGACTGCCCATTTGTTCAGCAGCCTTTTTCCACATTTCACAATGGACTTGGGCAATCCAAAATCACGTACCTAGTTATCCACGAATAACTTGATAACGTGCTCAGTCTTTGCAGCCTCGGGCATGGAGATTAGTCTAGCGTACTTAGTAAACCTGTCTACAATGACAAAAAACTGCCTCTTGCCTCTCTTGCTTGTCACTAGTGTGTCCATGAAGTCCATGGAAACACTGTCCAGGACCTGCAGGAATGGGCAAGGGCTTGAGTAACCCAAGCGGTTGCGGCTTATCCCGCTGACAGACTTGACAAGTCTGGACGTACTAGCTAAGGGAAACTGCCCTCGACATTGTCTCGTATTGTGAACAGGCGAGAAGAGGAGAAAATGTAGTCTACACATGAAGGGCTAGATTTGATCCGAGGACCTTGAAATTAGGCCGGTGGGAGTGAAAGGATTTCACACTGTGTCCATGTCCTGATTTCCAGTCCTAGAGTTCCACCTGAGCCCAGTCCCAGTTGGTCCCGGTGTGTCCCAGGCCCAAGTCCTAGGAGTCTGGTAGGGACTAGAGGCGTAAGTCCGTAGGGTCCCGTAGTTCACGTCCTCAGAAGTCATAGGAAACAAATCATGCTTTTAGTATTTTCATGGTTAACCCCGTTAACCACTTGTGTGAACATGACGCCCCATCGTCATGAACTACAAAGTTACAAATCCTGTTCTGGTCCAAATACGGGTGTTGCGTTCAAGGGAAGAAGATAGTCCTTGGTGGCCAGTGTTATTTTATGTCTGCACATTTTGCCCCTCGCTTTGCCGTCATGACTCTAGTAGGTGTAAGTTATGACCGCTCGGGCAATGCCAATGGAACTGTTGATCTGCAATGACTATTGATGATGGTTGCAGAACCACGTTCCTCGCGTTCTTCTAAGCTTTGTGTGCATCGATGGCATCTACATCCATTTCTTTTATTGTATCCATCTCATTCTATGAGGATTCAAACTCATGGGCTGTTGATTAACAGTTACATGTCTGTACCATTCTTGACTCCATCATGATCGGAACTCTTGATCTGTTTACTAACAGTTACATGTGGGTACTGATAATTTTATAGCTTTGTGACGTTTCGTATTACTGTTAGGAAACAGACGACAAGCTCACACTGTGGTGGAATCCGACCAATACGATAATGTTAACGTCCTCTCTGTGTTCTTTTCGCTTCTGCTTTTTTTCATTGTGATGCTTTGTTCGCTTTTGTTTTGTCTTCTGCGGAGTTCCATTTCATTTGGTTTCGTTTTGTTTGGGGTTTCATTTCATTTCATTATGGGTTCATTTCATTTCATTCGTTTGGGGTTCATTTAGTTTTGTTTGGGGTTTGGTCCATCTCTTTCTGTTTGGGTACGTTTCGTTTTTTTTATCGTTTCCATTTTTGTTTTTGTTTCCTTTGGGGTTTATTAAATTATTTTGTTTCAGTTCATTTCGTTTGGGTTTCATTTTCTTTCGCTTGAGTTTCATTTTGTTTGGTTTCGTCTCATTCCGTCCCGTTCATTTCTGTTTCGTTCCTTTACGTCTTGTCTCCTTCCGTTTTGTTTTGCTCCGTTCTGTTTTGTTCCATTCTGCTCTGTTTCATTTAATTTGGTTTCGTTTGAAGCCCTGGCGTACTTGCAGGTTTGGACAGTTTCCCAAGTTGTATTTGAATGTCAAACAAAGGGACCAGGGTTCTTCAAAACAAGTACACACTTGGCCGATTCGGATGATCAGTACACATGTAACTGCTACTAAAAATTTCATGAGTTCGAATTTGGATGGAATCAGATGTTTGGGGCTACCCCCTTTTCTTATTGAGAACAGCAAAACTAGACACAAGTACACAGGGAAAAGAGCTTCCAACACATCAGGTGCCTTGGGTTCTCTCTGTCAGGGGCAAGTTGTCTTTGGTTCTACTTTTTTGGGGGAAGTGTGGGTGGGGCGGGGAAGGGGGGGAGGGGGGGGACAGCCCGCACCACAGCATCACCTACATTCCCCACGTTGTACCACCCAGCCTACGTAGCATCACCCCCCTAACCCACATTACCGCCCAGCCCGCATAGTACAATTTACTCGTCGTAGTATGCCCCACCTGATATAGTACCCCACGGTGTGGCATACTGATACCACACGGGCCTCAGTTAGGGCCCAGTTCTGTAGTAGCCACGGGTTAGGCCTAGGTACCGGGTCACGATGTCGGGGCAAATACCCTGACAAGGGTATTTGCC